TGAAGTACGAATTAGCATATACAGGTTAAAATGCATGATAATTTCATGTCATATCAGCGCAAACGCACATAAAATATGTACGCATTTGCACTGTCACAGCAATGGATTGTCACACATATCGCTTTTAAAGGTGAATGCATACTTGCGTACCAGTTATATGCAGCCCTGATTATAACAAAGATTGTATCAGAAATTTGGATCGGTATCGGCGCCGATCCAGACCTATCTGACGGATTGCGTATCGGCCATGTGTGACTAATCCACGTCCTATACTTACTTATTTAGTTTTTGGCAATCTCTAAAAGGATAGATTTAACATGAAATAGGAGATATTTGCACAATCAATCGCATGACAGCTCTTTCCCATTTTACATGTATTTTTTATGGCATTCAAGTCGAACAATAACCTCATACTACCGTATTTTGCGCACTATAAGGCGCACTTAAAAGCCTTTAATTTTCTCAAAAATCCACGGTGCGCCTTTAAATTCGGTGCACCTTATGTGTGCACTGAGTTCCAAAATCTGTAAAAATGTTGTTGTGCATTTTAGTAAGCACTCCGCTTGATTGACTGTCGGACCATTTCCTACCAACATAGGGACGTAGTAATACGTACACTACGTACGCTGGCAGCGATAAACCAATTGCAGAACATTACGTAAAGCCACGTACAGAGGTATGCTTACCTCCGCCACGCCTAAGGCAGGTAGGTATATTGTACTACTGGTGCGCTGCGAAACAACATTTGTTTAGCTAAGGACCCTGAAAATGGCATCAGAGAAGAGACATGCTTACGATGCACAATTCAAACTACAGGCTATCAGTTACGCGGTTGTAAATTGGAATAGAGTAGCAGCGAGAGAATTCAAAATCAATTAATCTATGGTTCGGAAGTGGAGGAAGCAGGAGAATGACAACAGACTGATCAAAAAACAATGTGATTGTATTTTTAAATACGTAGTAGAATAAGGTTTAACTCACTGTTTTGCTTTTGTTACCTTGTTTTTGCAGGCGCCGAATAATACGGTGCGCCTTATGTATGGCTCAAGTACAAAAATAAGCCCCGCAATTGAGAGTGCGCCTTTCAATCCAGTGCGCCTTATGGTGCGCAAAATACGGTAAATGCAAAAGCTGGTCGTTAAATAGGAGCCATTTTATAATTACGCAATTTATAATCAGATTAGTCGACTAATCGTTTTAATAGTCGTTAGTTGCAGCCCTACTAACATCAAAGAGACGGTTCCATTACAGAGATGAACTCAGGTGGAGTGAAGGAAAACAACAGCAGTGCTTGTAATTGCTACGAAACCTTTACAGGTAAAGAGCTGGTGAGAGTCCTTAATCAAACCAGCTGTTCAACAAGCTGAAAGGTGATGGAAATGATGTTTTCAGCTGCTCCCATCCACCGCTGTTTGTCGCAGTGATACCTGCAGCATGCAGGGGTGAGTCTAAAGGGGAGCATGGGGTGAACACAACTAGATATATTTCAAGGCTTTAGTAATACTATTTTGCAGATTTAGATTAATATGAATAATATTAAATAATTAGAATAATATAAATATAATATAAATATAATATAAAAATTACCCACCCCCAACAGCCTTGGGCCAGTAAAACTCTGAGACACTAAATTATTATTATTTCCTCTCTTTTTCAGTAAATCACAGTGTCTTATGGACAGCTTTGTTTGGCAGCTGCACCATGTTCAGTTCAGCAAACTGCTGAGTTGACCGACAGCATTTTGAGCAAACCATCACTCACATTAACTTACACACACACACATAAACATGCACACACTATTCCTACCTCATCCAGGATATACAATCCTGTCAGAACTTTTTTTTATGCCTCCTATAAATGTACAAGAATACAGAGAGTAAAGGCCATTTTAATTTATGTCTTAGTTTAAGATATATGTATACCTTTCTCCAGTAATTTTATTTGACATTATTTTACTTACTTTTGCATTTAAGAAAGCATTCTCTTAAAAAAATACACACATACACACACACATATATATATATATATATATATATATATATATACATATACACATACATATACACACACACACACACACACACACACACATACACACTCACCTAAAGGATTATTAGGAACACCATACTAATACGGTGTTTGACCCCCTTTCGCTTTCAGAACTGCCTTAATTCTACATGGCATTGATTCAACAAGGTGCTGAAAGCATTCTTTAGAAATGTTGGCCCATATTGATAGGATAGCATCTTGCAGTTGATGGAGATTTGTGGGATGCA